GTATGTGTATGAGGTATGTGTATGAGGTATGTGTGTGAGGTAGGTGTATGAGGTACGTGTATGAGGTATGTATGAGGTATGTGTGTGAGGTACGTGTATGAGGTACACGTATGAGGTATGTGTATGAGGTATGTGTATGAGGTACGTGTGTGAGGTATGTGTATAAGGTATGTGTGTGAGGTACGTGTATGAGGTACGTGTATGAGGTATGTGTATGAGGTGTTCGTATGAGGTATGTGTGTGAGGTACGTGTATGAGGTATCTGTATGACGTATGTGTATGAGGTACGTGTATGAGGTACGTGTGAGAGGTACGTGTATGAGGTACGTGTATGAGGTATGTGTATGAGATATCTGTATGACGTATGTGTATGAGGTATGTGTATGAGGTATGTGTATGAGGTATGTGTGTGAGGTATGTGTATGACGTATGTGTGTGAGATATGTGTGTGAGGTAGGTGTATGAGGTACGTGTATGAGGTATGTATGAGGTATGTGTGTGAGGTACGTGTATGAGGTACATGTATGAGGTATGTGTATGAGGTATGTGTATGAGGTACGTGTGTGAGGTATGTGTATAAGGTATGTGTGTGAGGTACGTGTATGAGATATCTGTATGAGGTATGTGTGTGAGGTAGGTGTGTGAGGTACGTGTGTGAGGTATGTGTATGAGGTATCTGTATGAGGTATGTGTGTGAGGTATGTGTATGACAGGCACGATATTCCCCTCTGAAAAAAAAATCGGGGCCGGCCAAAAGAGACCCCGCGCGCCAAGAAATCGCACACACAACACCAACACTACACACCCTTCCTTTCCAGCCGGTCAGGTGTGGATCAGCTCCGGAGCTGGGCAGCTGCTTCCCTGGTGGTGGGGCCGAGGCCGCCACCCGGGGAGTGCCTGCAGCTTTCCCTCGCCAGGGCCGGGCGGTGGCATGTTGCCCTGCGCCGCGTGGCCTCCGCCTGGCAGCGCGCTTCTCGGCATGAGGCAGCCGGATTGCCCAAGGAGCCCAGCCGGCCAGGCGAGGGGAAGGTAGCGAGGGCCCTGCCGGGCTGGGGCGGAAAACCCACTTAGCAAGGGGCCGGGGAAGCCTGCGAGCGGAGGACCAAGCGCGCTGGGAGGCAGAGATTCGTCCGAGGCGGTCAGACGGAGAGACGGCTGGTTTGTGGCTGCCCAGCTCCCTTTTCCTGCCGCTCAGCGGCCTCCGCTCACAGTGCCCGGGCTCCGCTCAGGTGTCCGGCTGGGGCTGTCAGGAGTTGCTACTGCCGGCGCGGCTCCGCGCAGCTCCAGTTCCGTGTTGCCTCGGGAAGGGAAAGGCAAAACCGGGAGCCGCCGCGCCTGAGCCTCCGGTGCCGCTGCTGCCATTGCAAAGCACCGCCACGGCTCTTCCTTTTGGCCTTTCCCTTCCCGAGGCAACGCGGGACTGGAGCCATGCCGGCGGTAGCGGCTCCTGGGCTGGGAGTGAAGTGGGGGACGGACCGATGAACAGCCGCCCAACGTACCTCCACAGAACAGGAGAGGGAGGTCGACGCTTCCTCGGCCACTCGGAGAAAGAGATCTTCACAGAGCTGGAGGGAGAGAGAGAGAGAGAGAAGGGGGGGGAGGGATCAGGGCTGGGGGGAGGGGCTACCTCCCCTCCCTCCTTAGCCCCACATCCCAGCAAGAGGCGGCCGAAGCAAGAGGCGGCGGAAGCAAGACAGCCGTTGGAAGCCCGTCCCCCTGCGGGGCCCCGAGGTCCCAAGGGACGCCAGCCCCTCGGCTCCGGGCACCTGAGGGATGATGCCCCGCTGGTCCATCTCCTGCTTGCCCATCATGGTGTACGACTTGCCGGCCCCCGTCTGCCCGTAGGCGAAGATGCAGACGTTGTAGCCCTCAAAGGCGTGGAGCAACATCTCCTCCCCGATGTCCTTGTAGACCTGGCGCTGGGAAGCAAAGTGGGGGTCGTCCTCCTGCAAGAGAATGGGGTCCTCACTCGGGGAGACGGACGCACGGCCGGCTCCCGTCCAGGGTGGGAGGGAAGGACAACCCCCCCCCCCCAGCCCAGGACACCAAGCGACACTCACCGAGGTGTGGGACCAGTAGGAGTAATCGAAGGTGAAGCTCTTGGGGGCATCCTTGGCCTGCTTGGGGTTGGCGATGCCTGCGTGGGGGAGGAGAGAGAAGGGACCCCACTGCCACATCCGCCACGGCCAGCCTCCGCCACGGCCGCGTGAGGGCACAGCTGCCTTCAAAGCGCCGCAGGAGGACCCGGCTTCAACCGCCCGGGCAACCGGCAGCGGCCTCCAGAAGGCACAACGAAGAGAGGACACAAGGAGAGAAAGTCCGGCCTCTAACGACTGCCTTAGATAAACACCTCTTAAAAGGGTAAAGCTTGGGTGGACCCCTTCTTAGTCTCAAACCGGCAATGCCAACGCTGAGTCATCTACATTGCATCAGCCTTATATCAGCTTGACAGCGGGTCAGCTCTTCAATCTCAATGCCGTAACGTAGCTCAAAGCAGCCTCCCTTGCCCGGCCTGGGAAGGGGGTCCACAGAAGTTTTACCCTTTTAAGAGGTGTTTATATAAGGCAGTCATTAGAGAACTCTCTCTCTCTCTCTCTCTCTCTCTTTTTCTCTCTCTCTCTCTCTCCTTGTGTCCTGTCTTCATTGTTAAGTTCTCAGCGCCGTTACGATTGATTGTTAGGTATTTGCCTATCATGGATATCTCTGTATACGTCTTGTATATAAACCACGGTTAAATAGTAGTCACCCCGCAAATGGTCTGACAGGCTAGGATACCTGCGGGGGAGGGAAGCGTGCCAGCCCCCACCCTCACCCTAGCGGGCCCCGCCGGCACCTCCGGCACGGACGTAGCCCTTTCGGGCATGGAATCCGGTCGCAAAAGGCGACCGGAGGGCAAAGTGGGACTCGAGGACGGGAGCCCTCTCCCTTCTCCACAAGGGAGTGGTAGACTGCCACTGAACCCGGAGGCTCCGCTCCGCTCTTATTCACAACCGCTTAGGTTTTGGAAGCCAAGCCAGAGTGCCAAGGCTGACCAGCGGCGCCCGAGAGTTATACGCCCGGGACCCCTTTCCTTACAGACACCCCCCCCCTCTGCGCCATGGCTTCACCCTGCCTCCTTCAGTCCTCGGGGGGAGCAGGCGGGGAAACTCACAGGTGGTGGGTCCTTGCATCTGGATGACGCAGGTGGCCGCGTGGCTGAGCTCTCGGGCGTTGAAGGGCCTCACCCGGACGGCCACTTTGAC